TCGGCACGGAAAAATTGATACCGGAAACGTTATATTTGCGGTGCGTTTGCGGTAGGTCAATGAATTGAGATATTCACTTTATACACACGATTTGCTGTATTGCGTTTTAATTTTTATGTTTCAATTACAACACCAATGGAATTTCATTCTATGTGCGCATTTAACATTTGCTCGAACGGTGAAAACATCGTGAGTAAACCGACATGTTTTAGACCCATAAAGTCGACGGCGTGTGTCAGGTACTGGAGGCTGATCACCTACTTGCCTATTAGATTTAAAAATGATCATAAAACAGATTCAGAAATGTGAGGCCAAGACCTAAAGAGGTTGTAGCGCCACTGATTTATTTTATTTTAATTGCAACATGTTTTATGTTACATTGCGTCTGTTATCGTTTGGCCTTTTCATTCCTTCCCATTGACTTGAATCTTTAAATTCTACTTTTGTGATTGACGTTGTCTTGATTAAAAAAACAACTTCTGTTAATTGTCGATAACTAGACTATATTTGTATCTCACTAGTAGACTTCTGTTCCCCACCCAAGTCTGAAACTGAAGCCTATTTTACGGGTTAAGTTAAATCTTGTATCGCTCTCGAAGGCTATTGAATAATCAAATCAAATAAAAAAGAAGCCCACCAATTATACAATTTTTTTTGTTTTTAAGCTCGATTTCTTTTTCATATTTAAAAAAAAACATGTGGCGCTACAATCTTTAGGTCTGGGCCTCAGATTTTTGAATCTGTTTCATGATGATTGTTCAAACTAATAGGCAAGTGGGTGATCAGCCTCCTGTGCCCACGCCGTAGACTTTTTGGGTCTAAGACATGTCGGTTTCCTCACGATGTTTTCCGTCACCGTTCCAGCGAATGTTAAATGTGCGCACATAGAAAGTCTATTGGTGCATAGCCGGGGATCGAACCTACTATGTGAAACGTTGGTACTTTCAAAACAGCGCCATCTGTTAGAATTGTGACTATCAAATAATAAACAAATATTTTGCAATAAAATAATATTGCGGGTATAAATTGAGATGTAAGCTATCCTACCTTTTAAGTTAGATCAAACCGCACACGGTGTGCAAATTTGATTGAAATCGGTTCAGTAGCTTAGGAGTCCATAGCGGACAAACAACGTGCCACGTAATTTATATATGTTAACATTTCCTTTACTTAATCTGTATATGCGAAGGGAATATTTAATTTGGCTTACCTGAAATCCCGTCATAGGTCCACCATTCCTCCCAGCTGACGCCGTTGACGGCTGCAATCATACCTCTAATTAACTCATTACGTTCCAATTATGAATTTACTGAAAAACCCGCAAATCTTGAACATTAATTCGTACTTAACACGATTTTGATGAATGTTTACAAAAAGGTGATTGTATGGATTTGATATTTAGATTATATAATACGTTAAATGTTAGTTTGGTATAGGCTCAATAGATCGGAAGACACAGGATAATACTCGCAGTATACAATGCATTAGATAATAGAACTTCTACAGTACGAAGAGATCAAATAAATTTATTTATTTAATCATGTGTTAGTGGTTAAATAAATAAAAAAATACAAACGTGTTTATCATAAGAATGCTTGTGTAAGATTTCAGAACCCATTTAAGTAAAAAAATACCTTTGTAAAGGTTTCCAGCTCCTTAGAAAACTCATTAATTAATTCCATTTTTTTTTGGTTTTTTCAATCAAAATTTTGTTTTTTTAAATTATTTTTTAACGGTTTACAAAATTTTCTCCCAATTGTTTTTAGCAAAAAGCATTTTGTGTGTGCATGTGACTGAATGTGTTTAGGTGGGTGTGAGTGAATGAGTAAGCGTAATGTGTAACTATATGTTAGGTCTCAGGGGCGTCTCCAACTCTGTGTAAGGTGTGTTCATAAGCCAGTCTTTTAACGGGCTTTTTAACTTTTTTTAGATTGTAAGCAGCCTATTTAATTTATTATAGACGAAGTCTGTTGAGGAAGGATGGTGTACTGTTCCTGAAGATCAACGGTCTCACCACTAACTGGCTGGCCTGAAGGCCCCAGTTAAGGGCGAGAAGGAAGGCGGTTTAGGGTCACACACATCAACTCGGAAAGGGATCGTCACCGTATCAACTTGAGCCGTTCAGTATTTTTTATTTTTTTTAAAGACAATTCACACTAATTGACCTAGTCCCATGCTAAGCTGGTGAAGCTTGTGTTATGGGTACTAGGCAACGGATATACACACATATTATTATAGATAGATATATATAAAGACATATTTAAACAGGGGGGGGGGGGCCCGTGGGGGGGGCGGCCGGCCGGGGCCCAAGATATACATACATATTATAAAGATAGACATAATATAAATACATGTTTAAACACCCAAGACCTAAGCACAACACCAAATGCTCATCACATCGATGTTTGTCTCAGCCGGGGAGCGAACCCATGGATTCGCAGTCAGGGGTACTAACCACTAGACCAATGAGCCGTCAACGTGTATAATATGTGTGAATAACAAAACAGAATCCAGTTTGTTCCCTTTGGAGTAGAGACTCTTTGGCAGTGGGGTTCAAGAACACAGGCGCTAATTTAAGATTTAAGTTAGCGCCTGGTAGATAGTATCGGTGACCACAGAGCTGGTGATTTCCTGGCTCAACGAATAAGTGTCGCAATACAGCGAGGAAATGCTGCCAGCGTTAAAGGTCCAAACTTTATGAATTTTTAATTATTTTTTACATGTGAGAAAATTGGAAATAGGATTCCGAGGTGACATGGACTGAATATAATCTAGTGAACTCGAATAAAGGATATTTTTACTTTATTCATTGAAAACTTTATAGAATAAAGACTTATTTGATTTATAACCTCCACCAATACTTTCCTGTCAACGTCAACGAATTATTTATTTGCATACTCTGTTCCATTTTAATTGCTAGCTCATATTTCACTCATACAACATACTTTAAAACATTGACATTTGACACGAGGCAACCCACAATCTGCGTTAACAATTCAATTTTAGTTAAAAATTCTTCTATAGTGGCATGGACACTGGACAGCATACCAACGTCTCAAGATATGCGTGTTCTTTTCACGATGCATCAAGGATGTCACTCTCTTCGAAATGATTGGATTTTTTTTTTTTTTTTTTTTTTTTTTTTTTTTTTTTTTTTTTTTTTTTTTTTTTTTTTTTTTTTTGTTTTTTTTTTTTTTTTTTTTATTTATTTTTATTTAAAACTATCAGTTAGTGTCTCGGCAATACCTGATGGCAACCTTTTTTATATCTTCTTGCAATCAGCCCTAAGGCTATGAGTGGTTTCCCATTGGACTACTCATGCTGAGCTACTGCCGGTTTTCTAGCTTTTGAATATGGTGACGTTTTAGTCGTCTCACATACTGTTCTATGGTGAGTTGGTGAGCAAGTTTGTTCGGGTGACAGCTTAACCGCTCTTTATTATTAGCTGAATGAATACCTAAACGCGTTGTTACTCTGATTACGGAGCGTATTCAATGCCTTCTGTAACGCCTGGTATTGGAATGGAACAATATTCATACACATGTCAACTGGACAGTGAAAAATTCTTATGAGGGCCCTAATTTCTACGTAATTCTCACTAAACAAAGCGTAATCAGAAATAAAAATACAGAAATCGTCATAATACTAAAACTGTATGTAAACACATTGGGAAAATAATATAAAGGTAATTGTTTAGTCAAATAATAAATATCTTTTATAGGAAGTTCGCTATTGTTTGCTTATTTACTTTTCTTTGAACGTTATCGAATCAATATTATCTATATAATCAAGAACAAAAAGATCTAATAGAAAGCGCGTATTATTAATATTATATAATTATGTCATTATGTGTTATGTCATAATATGTTTATTTGATCGTTAATAAAAAGGAATGTAAGTAGATATTAATAGTAGAAAATATTTTAAGTAGTTTCTTTTAGAAATTACTTGAAATATTTTATTTTATTGGGTTTATGCTTAGGGAGAGCAGTGTCGGCCTAGTGGTTTTAGCATGCGACTCTCATCCCTAAGCCCGTAGGTTCCATCCCAGGCTGTGGACAAATGGACTTTCTTTCTATGTGCGTATTTAACATTCGCTCGAACGAAGGAAAACATCGTGAGGAAACCGCCTTGCCTTAGACCCAAAAAGTCGACTGCGTGTGTCATGCACAGGAGGCTAGGCCTACTTGTCTATTAGAAACGATCATAAAACAGATACAGAAATCTGAGGCCCAGACCTAGAAAGGTTGTACCGCTACTGATTTTTTTTACGCGCTTATTGACAGGGTTATATACGCACACAAACCGAAGTTTCACACACTCTTCATGGCATTTCGTCACCGCAACCCAGCGGTCGTATTTAATTAATTATCGAATAAAAACTATTGAGTGGTCCAATCCTGTGCTACGTTTTAAATAATTATTCTAAAGTGGCCGGCATCGCCTAAAATGGGGAGGCCATGGGCTGATATACGTTAACCATATTGTAAGGCTTGTATTATAGAAAACAATTATTTAAAAGGAATTGAATGGCGTTATACACTAAGCCATGGAGGTCATCTCAGAATAATTAAGAACAATTTACGTTAAATAACTCAATTTCCGCAAACAAAATTCAAAAACAGAAGCTCGATTTTCAAGAGATTAAAATTCTAATTTGAGTTCCCTTAATTAAGATTATATTAGGATTATTATACTTATAATATTTTGGAAGCAATTAATTCAAAAATTCTTACGAAATTTGGCCCGTAATTATCTGAAGTATCTTTTATTACCGGATATTCAGATGTTAAATTATTTCGGCTTTATCAATTTTGGAGGATAATTGGTAGTGACTATACATTTCTAGAATCTGGAGGAATGACGGTGTACTGTTTCTCCAACCTCTTCAACCAGTCTAACCAATGTCTGGAAGGCCCGAAGGCCCCAGTAGCTGAAGTCGAGAAGTTCTATATATCTTTAGCGGCTGGAATAACTACGTTAGCGCGTTTCAGGGTCCGTCATCGCAATGATTGGAAACGCAGATTGTATGTGTGGCTACAGTAAATTCCCCCGAAGATCGGTCGATCAAGTTGCTTGACACAGTTGTGTTGAGGGAGTGGCTTGCCAGTGCCAGGTGGAGTGGAGGAAGCTGATGTCGCATAGTTCGTGGTAAGTTTGAAATTGTCTGCCATACTACATATTGGTTCAGCGTGTTGGAATGCTGCAGTGTGCTGCGGCAGAGGGTACCAGGCATACGTGCTTGCTGCGTGGTGGTGGACAGGTTTCCTGTAGCTAGGGTGCTGGCTGGTTGTGACCTGTTGCTGTGTATTGAAGCTAAAGGAAGGCATGAGAGTGGCCAACACTGACATTAACAATTTAAATAGATACTGGGGAAATTCAGTCGAAGTAAATAGGGTATTAAGGCTCAAAAGAAATGTATTAGAGCAAATTGTGGAGCAAACTGTCTTGATAGTTGCGTACCTTTATTTAAGAAGCACAAAATTGTATCTCTTCCCTGTATTTATATTTTATAAATATCCTAAGAAGTAGACATGGGGAGAAATTGGCTGTGGCAAAAATCAATCTGGCACTGTTAAGGAAAAACACCTTTTGTATGGCAATTAAGGTTTACAATAAATTACCAAAAGAATTAAAAGATATTCCCACTAGAGTCTTTAAAAAGTCTTTATTACTTTTGGAAAAAATTTACTATTCAATAAATGATTTTTTGCGTGAGACACTGTAGTTGATATAAATTTAATAAAGTATGATATGATATGTACGATACAAATGATTTAAAATTCCTTTAAAGACAAATGTGCGCGCCATTGTATGTGGCAGAATATGCGAACTTACCATTGTGCCTTACACATTTTGTACCATATTCTTGCAATAAATAAATAATTATTATTATTAAGAAACATCTCTATGAAAAAGCGTATAAAACTTATTAATTAAACATTATAAATACGATAGTTCACTGAAGCATACAACGGGAACGATCACTCGAATCACTTGGATGTATTTGCGATGCAGGCGGCGCGTCCAGGGTGAACTTCGAATGCGAATGCAAAAATTTAAATTAAAAACATAAATCAGGCGTGTATCGAGTAAGTTTCGAGATATACATTTCAACTGCACGCCTCGTACGTACTTGGCTTATCGAATTTTTATTTGTGTATTATAAAGTCACAAAACGGATTAATTACTGATCGTTGTTAGTAGTAGTAGAAAATTTAAAAAACTTTAGAGGTGTCAAGGGACACCCGGATGGAACGAAATTCCTTTCGATTAATTTATATGTTAATTGGTATCATAGCAGTATGATAGATTTTCTCGACACCAATCTTAGAACCGGTGTATTACAATAGCAAATAGCAAAAAAGTGTCGTGACAACTTTTCGTAAGAATTTTTTCCGTCTAGCCCCCTTTCACAACGCGCGATAAGGAACTTCGTTCCAATAAACAGTGGCGCTACAACCTGTTTAGGTCTGGGCCTCAGATTTCTGTATCTGTTCTGTGTTAATTTCTTATAGGCAAGTAGGTGAACAGCCTGACACACGCCGTCGACTTTTTGGGTCTAAGGCAAGCCGATTTTCTCAAGATGTTTTCCATCACCGTTCGAACGAAGCACATAAAAAGTCAATTAGGGCACAGCCGGGGATCGAACATATGACTCAGGAATGAGAGTCGCACGCTGAAGCCACTAGACCAACGCTGCTGCGAAAAATAGACAATATACATATATTTGTCATTTATCGAACAGGGCTTATCATGTTCACACACTCGCGAATATTAAAGATCTTACAGGATTTTTTGTTTAATTAGATTTAACATTAAGAGTATTTTTTTTTAATATTTTCATTTGTAACTTAATATATATTCCTTTTTTTAAACATACATGTACCAAGGGAGTGCACGTTAGATCAATTTTGTCACTACAATATTTTGTTTTGAATAAAACATTATTATTATTATATTTAACATGCTAGCTAACACCAGTACAACATTTAGCGTGTGTAATAAAATATTTTTAATCTGTCCCCTCTTTATCATAGTCTTCATTACTTAAGGTTGTGGCTGTGTCGAAAAGCCTTGCTGCCTCCAGGGATGTTGACACCCATAGTTATCTCACTTATCTTCTCAAGAGGTTTAAGATAAAGCGTACTTAAGTCTTAATTGTTATAATTTAAGTGGACTTACAAGCCTATGCTTGGACGGAGCTCGGTCCGGCTTAAAGAATTATACAGTCGGAAATTCAACACCTGGGTCGCAGTAAATTGTTCCTATATTTAGTTAATGTTTTTGATAACTTTGAGATTGTAAAAATATAAACTGTATATAAACTTAGTATTGTCTTTTATTAACATAACTTTTAGACATAGAAAAACACTTTTTTAACGGATTTGAAGTTATGTTTTATTATAAATTTACAGTCGATACCAACTCCGGGTACAAATACAGATAACACAACTTTTTCTACAGCTGTGATACTTTTTGACATTCAACACCTTTTGTCTTCAGTCACCGTGACCACGCACGCTGTAAAGCACGCGAAACGTTGGTTAAATTTAAAATAATTGTAAATTTATAATAAAACATAACTTCAAATCCGTTAAAAAAGTGTTTTTCTATGTATATAAACTTTTTAAGTTTGGGGCATAAATATATTTGTAATAGTTTATTTCTTATTTTATTAATTCCAGAATTCTATAGGGACATGTAAAATGATAATAGAATATGGAGTAAGAATGATTTTGCTAACTTTTTTTTTCTTTATTTTATTTAGCTATTATTTAGCCTATGTTCATTAGGGATGCCGTAGGGTTAGTAGTGAAAGATCTTTTTCAAATCAGTTCTGTAGTTTTCGAACCTAATCAATTGAAACAATCAAATATTTCCACCTTATAATATTAGTTATATCGAGAATTCTATAAAGAGACGCGTAGACTGATTCTAGAGTTGATTTTTTGTCACCGTATCGTGATAGATAGATGTCCACGCTGCTATCTATATTTATTACAACATTCGAAAGAAATAGCATATAACAGGTGTAATGTAGCAATAGTGAGAAAAAGTTTTAAATCGTACCAGATTTTGTGTTAATTGATAATTCGTTATGAACATACAATCTCCCCTCTTCATAATATTTGTATTTATACATAGTATATGAATGAATGAGAGTTGTATTAACATGTTAAAATAGTATTTTAGCATTCACTGTAGGTAACTTTAAGTGACAGCTAAAATGCTCTAAAATAAAATTTTATATTGCATCTTTGGAACAAACATAAGATTGAATTCTTATGCATTGTTGCATTTTGCAGACGCATTTGCTACGTGATGGAGAAGGGTTCGCCAGTCAGCGAATGTCTCAGACCCCTCAAATCTTTAGACGGGGAAAAATCAAATGATTTCGTGTGACGAATTTTTAGCTTAAAATTCAAAGGATTTTAAGAACTAGCATTTTTAAGACCGTTTTTGTTACGCACCACTACTATCCACTGAAGTATTTCCGAACCAATTCAACTTAGGGTCCTTCAAGAAAAGAGCGTACCAATTCTTAAAATACCAGCAATGTACTCGCGAGCCTCTAGCATTGAGAGTGTCCATGGGCGGCGGATGCCTAACATCAGATGAGCTTCCTGCCTGTTAGCTCTTTTTTATAAAAATAAAACTTTATTTGCAAAGTAGTTCATAAGATGAATTATTTACAAAAACCACAAAATCGGAAATACCAAAACAGACTGAAATTATTATTAAAACAATTTTTTTTCATTTTTTTTTATAAGACTTTATCTTGCAATCAGTCAACTAGACTATGAGCAGATGTGTTGAGAGCTGTTAGGTTAGGTTAGGTTATTATTAAAACAATTAAAACATTTATTGTATTAGGCTTGCGCATTTCGTATTTCTGGGCAATCGGGAACCGAAAATGTTGACCCCAGAAATCTGACCGAATGGCGGACGACAGAACCCCAAAGTCCTTACTGAAATCACAACCCGGTAGCAAGAGAAAACCCGGTATACCGACGCTGCTTTGGTGGGATGCAGTTGTCAAGGACCTCGAAACAATAGGGGTTCGAAATTGGACGCGAGAAGCACTGGATACATTGCGAAGTGTACTTAAGGAGGCTAAGGCCCGCAAGGGGCTGTATAGTCATTGACGATGATGATGGTGACATAATATAACACCCCTTTATCACAAAAGGATCACTTCTGAATGTTTAGTTCGACAAATAAATCACAACCCGGTGGCAAAAGAAAACCCGGTAGACCGAGGCTGCGTTGGTGAGATGTCAAGGACCTCGAAACAATAGGGGTTCGAAATTGGACGCGGGAAGCACTGGATAGATTGCGATGGCGGAGTGTACTTGAGGAGGCTAAGGCCCGCAAGGGGCTGTATAAGCATTGATGATGATGATGATGACATAATATAACACCCCTTTATCACAAAGGGATAACTTCTGAATGTTTAGTTCGACAAATAAAAACAGTCTACTAAAATTCTCTAAAAGCCCATCTTTCATATGAAACTTTCAGTTAAAAAATAAACAATTCAAACTCATGCAAAATAATTTCATTAGTTAAATCTTGAGCATTAACGAGCTCTTTGAATTAAAAACTTGAATATTTTAGTACGATATGTCTCGACCAGGTGCATAAATGGTGTGTAATTGTAAAACCATCTCTCAGTATTCCAAATAGGGTTTAAATTCGTTAAGCAGTAAGCGAAGAGATATATCACTTACGTCACTGAGAAGGGAAACTGATTCATTTCCGATGCACGGTTGGAGCTCTTTGTGGAGTACGTCGGCTGCGAATTGCTCACGTTTTCAACATTTGATTGGGACATCAATACGTCTAAAATATTGTTGCATTTAACGTCATCCTTTCAGTACATTTGAATGATTTACAGAGTTTTGAAAATGGAGTATTTGGTTCGTAATTTAGACGATTTTGGAAATGGAATCTTCTGTATTTGACTCGTAATTTAAAAAATGGATTTTTCGCAATTTCACTCAAATTTTAGATGGAATATTTTGTATTAAACTCGTAATTTAGACGATTTTGAAAATGAAATCTTCTGTATTTGACTCGTAATTTAAACAATTTTGAAAATGGAATCTTCTGTATTTTTTTTAGTCTTGAAATTTTGACGATTTTGAAAATGTTTTGAATTCTGTTGTGAAATTCGACTCTATATACATGTTTGAAAATGGCGCAAATGTCCGGAACAATTTATATTAAATTAAGACTTGCCCGGAAATCGATAACTTCGCATTTTATATAAAATACTATGCGGCCCCTCGTAAATATTGGTCTAGAAATTTTGACGATTTGTGGAATCTTCTATTAGACTCCACTA